GTTATGGTCCTAGGAGTGCCCTCAGCAGACTTTAATATGGATCAAAGTTAGCAATGTTTCGGCTCAGCTATTGAATCCATTGAATCTGTTAATGTAGTGAACAGAACTGAGAGCATACATCTCCAGCTCCTGGAAGACCCAATGCAGTGGTGTGCCTGGTGGGACACAGGTAAATGTGAAACCATGCTAAAATTAAATTAAAGATTACACTTGGACTGCACCATGACACTTCAGCAGGCAGTAGAGATTACTGTGCTTGGAGTATTTCTGTAAAGCGCTTTGCATATGAAAATAAGCTTGTAACACGCTTGCTGTGGACCTCTGGTGTTCCCAAATGTGGAACAATGCTAAGATGTTGTGGCGGGTGTCTGGAGAGTTGTTAGCTGAAGCCCCAGGTTTTTGTCACCTATCATCGCCCTTTACAGGTATCCAAATTCAAGACTGTCTCATCGAATTCAGGACATTTAGGATGTTTGCTGTAGCAAAATGAAATTCGGATTGGCAAAACATAGGCTAAAATGACTGCGACTAGAAGTTGGATAGCTTTTCCACATCAGTTTTTCTCCACGCAAGGTTCAGTTTAAAGTGAATCTGTCCCATTTTAGCATTTTATAAAGATACAATCTTTATGAAGTGGTAATTAAAGGACCACTATAGTGCCAGGAAAACATACTCGTTTTCCTGGTACTATAGTGCCCTGAGGGTGCCCCCACCCTCAGGGACCCCCTCCTGCCGGGCTCTGGGGAGAGGAAAGGGGTTAAAACTTACCTTTCTCCAGCGCCGGGCGGGGAGCTCTCCGCCTCCGATCCTCCTCCTCTCCTCCCTTTCGGCTGAATGCGCACGCACGGCAAGAGCTGCACGCGCATTCAGCCGGTCTCATAGGAAAGCATTTACAATGCTTTCCTATGGACGTTTGCGTGTTCTCACTGTGATTTTCACAGTGAGAATCACGCAAGCGCCTCAAGCGGCTGTCAATAAGACAGCCACTAGAGGATTTGAGGGCTGGATTAACCCATTTATAAACATAGCAGTTTCTCTGAAACTGCTATGTTTATAAAAAAAAAAAATGGGTTAACCCTAGCTGGACCTG